ATCCAGGTCCAAAGTCACCCTGAGACACCTGGGTGTCCATCACCTCTTTGTGGAGCACTCGTCTAAACACATTTCCTCATTTCAAGCCAACTTCTTGGAGCCTGAAATTTCCCAGCTTTAATCTGAGAGTCAGGGAAGGTGGCTCAGGGTGGGGTAGAGGAGGGGCATGTTCTGAGACTCAGTGATTGCAAATCACTTATAGAAAAGAACCTTTGATCAGAAGATCTCTATCAATACAGATACATCTAAGTGTCTAGGATTAGTGCCTAGGGTTTGTCTGGATTATGATAAGACTAGTCAAAGTTTAACTCTAAACCCTTAAGACATACAATCTATTTCAGTTAAGACTCCTGGTTAATATCGTCTAACATTAACTTTCTAATTGAGTACAGTGACTGAAAATTAACTCTCACCACCTTAAAAAAAAAAAAAAGATTGAAAGGTTTAGAAGGGAGGTTTTAGGGTAAAAAGAGAGGAATTTGAGATTTTTTCTTCCTACCCTCTAGGCAGGATCACAGTGTTCATTGCAGAGTTCTCCCTTCTCCCCAAAAGCAATGTGTGGCCCTCTATACCAGGACCATATCAAGACTCTGGCAAAAAGCTATCTTTCTGTTATGGGGTTTTTCCTTCCCCCAAATAGGAGACGATGGGTTCACATCTTGACTAAATAAGACCACTGCTCTTTTCTGTGTCAATGTTGATTGATGACAATATTCCTGCCTCACCTGTGCCAGGTGCTTTTCAAGGTAGGGTCAAAGTATAAAACAGCCCCTTAGTTCAGAGAACTTAGAGCAATACAAGACATAAGTATGAGAAACTTACAGAAAATAATGCAAGGCAGAATATACCCCAGTGCTTAATTGAGTACCTACAACTCTATGTTCTGTGCAAGTTCAGAGTTGATGTATTAATACCAAGACTGCCCTCCTGAAAATAAATAGGTGGGAGGAATTTAATCTCAAAGTATGTTATCAAGAACATTTGGTCAGTGAGATACTAAAACTAGCAGTTCACAATGGAATGCTTCCTGTCTGCAAGGCATTAAGTAAAGCCTTTTAGATACTTACATATTTAATCCTCACAACAACCTAAGCTACAGATAACAGTATATCCCTGTTTCTTTAGGGGTGGGAAAACCTCTAGCCTCTCTTAGACTAAGCCATTTGCATATGGCTACATTGTTTTGTTTTTTAAGAGGGGAGGTCTTGCTCTGTTGGGGAGGCTGGAGGGCAGTGACACAAACATAGCTCACTGTAGCCTCGAATTCCTGGGCTCAAACAATCCTCCCACCTCAGCCTCCCAAGTAGCTGAGATTACAGGTACACACCACCATGCCTTGCTACTTTTGTTTCCATTGTTTTAGAGACAGGGTCTGTCTGTGTTGCCCAAGCTGGTCTCAAACTCCTGGCCTCAAGCGATCCTCCTGCCTCAGCCTCCCAAGTTGCTGGGATTCCAGGCATGAGCCACTGTGCCCCACTGGTTACAGTGTTCATAGGTGGTAAAGCCAGAAATAAAACCTGGAAATTGTGATTACAGCTTCTGTGCTTTAAACAAATAGATATTATGGGCAAAGGGGAATCCGGAGTAAGTAGGACTTTTTGCTGTAGTATTCTCAGGTCCTTTACTATGCTTGGGTATATTATAAACCTCTATGAAAGCAGCATTTTTGCGAACATATTTGACCTCACGACCCTCTCTTTTTGGCCAAGGATCTCCCAGGATTCGTGATTTTTAAAATATATCCTGGGAAATACTGAAGTGGAAGGACCATAGTGTCTATATACTCCAGAGGCAGAAGGAACAAGAGGATGGGGTTGGTTATGGCCTGATGCTGGGGCGGTTGTGCCCTGTGGACCGCAGAGCCTGCCCTTCACCCACACCCAGCCACGCACAGCTCCACGGACAGGCCGCCATCGTAACTAGCAGGTGTCCGTTTGAGGTGATCCAGCAGCCTTTCACTCTTCCTACTGCCAAACTGGATTCATTTAAAACAAACAAACATTTTTCAAGCTCCTTCTACAAGTGAGCTAAGTGCAGATCATGAAATGGTGTCTTGTCCGTCCTTCACGTTCCCTGTCACCGTGGAGCCCGGAATAACAGACTGCAGAAGAAAGAACCTGAGTTTTGGAGTCAAATCGCTACTCTGCTTCCTTAAAAGGAGGTCTGGGGCAAATGTTTTAACTAAGCTAAGCCTCAGTTTTCTTTTTTAAAAAAAACGGAAATAATAATGCCACTACTCAGGGTGTCCCAGGGATTAAATGACATCACACACCCACTTATCAGCCTTTACTCAGGATTCCCTTTTCTTTGGCTATTTCATAGAGATTGGATACTTCTTTGCAGCTCCATGAAGGAAAAAAAATCAGTTTTTATGAACTGGCCCCTTCGGAGCCCGTCAGGAAAGGGCGTGGATCGGCGGGCTGAGTCCTGCCCTGTCTTGCTGCTGTGAGGCCAGTGAACACAGAATGAAGGTTCCAGAGTCTACCAAAGGGGTGCACATGCAGGTTCTCTACGTCTGAAGGGACACTGTCTTCCATTTCCCACCTTCCGAAGGTTTATTTGAAACACACACACAAATCGGAACATCTGAAGGCAGAAGAGAAAGGGAGGAAAGGACTGACATGGTACACAAACTATAGAATAGGCCCCGAACCATCAACAGATAAATAAGTGAATTTTCCAAATGCCTGTAGCTTTCCTTTTCTTAACCCTGTACTCTGCGACCTGGGGTTTTATCCCTGGCTCAGCCGAGACCCCCAATGGGGCTCCTGGGACTCCCAGAGTCAGCCTTGGGTGATGGTGGTGCATGCCGAGCGTGTTTTCACTTGAACCGTTTGCAGCTTTTGCTTTTGAAGAGTGAATGACATATGAGGGAGCGAATGGGGAAGAGTCAGGCCTGACTCAGCAGCCAAGAGATCCTAAGTCTGGGGTCCTTCCTCCCTGAGGAGTTCAGGTGCGAAATAACAAAAGTAGAACTTAGTCCCAAAGTTCCCATTAAGTGCCAGGCACAGCACAGGTGCTATTTTAAGAACACGACATAGTAAAAATGTTTATTGATTTTATAATAGAGTGATGAAGTAACATGCCTGTACAGCTAGTAAGAGTAGGACTAGGATTTTACACACATTACAGAACTCCCGTTCTGAAGGGCACGCACCTATCTCAGAGGGGATTCCGTTGCCTCTGGGACTCGGGCTTCTTCAGTGACTCCAGACCCCCTCCCAGCCTGGCAGCCGTGATTCTGCTGCCCCCTCTCAGCAGAGAAAACAGCGCATGTGCTCTGAGTGGCTGCGCACCACCTTCTCTCGCGCTGTACCTCGCCCTCATCCCCAAATCCCAGCATCTGTTGCCCAGACAGTCAGCTGTCAAGCTGTGCTGGAGTCTCTCCCTAGGTTCATTTGATATGTTGCCACTTTGTTTTTAAAAAAAAAGCCATATTGGTGCCAGGACCCCAGGGAATCCGATCCTGTCACTGCCGCCTGCCAGACACGGTCTGTCTCCCTTATCCTGCCCTGGGGGTCCCAGGTGATCCCTTTACAGAGTGTTTCTCACCAGACAGCTGCCACTGGGTCCCCGTGAAGGAAGGACAGCAAAGCTCCAGGCATCCTAGGGACCTAGGGCATGCCCTGAACACAGCTCTGCAATTCTGCTGAAAGGCCGGTGGTCATGTCCACCTTTTCTTGATAAGGGTAATTGTTTTCCTCATAACAGCTAGATGCTGCAGACCTTACCTTGCAGAGAGAAGGGGGGACATCTCCTTTACTTAGCTCTCGGTATGCCCTAGGCACTGTAGGAGGATCTTACGCATGTTAACACCCTCCTAGCCATGCAAGGAAGGCCTTATTGTGTCCCCTCACTTACAGATGAGAAACCAGAAGTTAAGTAACTCACCCACAGTCATGCAGCTGGAAAAGGAGCAGAGTGAGAATTCAAAGTCTGTTTAATGTAGGAACCCATGACAACATGTCACTACTTAAGGACAGGGTCAATAACAAGAGTTTAAGCAGCGTTTGAGAGGGGAAAAGGAAGTGGGCTTGCGATTCTGTCATCTGTTGCTTTGACCAAGCCGGGAGTAGTGATCATCAGACGTGAAATCCGAGTGACTCCTCTGACCACTCACCCTTTCTGTTATGAAAAATATAACCCTCAACTCGTACCTTCTTCCTAGAGGGGAAGGGGAATAAGTGTGAGGCAAAGTATCTATGACGGTTATAGAATTTGCCCACCTCAGAAACAGTATACCTTGGGAAAAGTTTTAGATCAGAATTTGCAAACTGGTAGCTTGCAGGCTGAGTCTAACCTAGAGAGATGTTTTGTTTTGACCCATGATGGTATTTTTTTTTTCCTTTTAAGAGATGGGATCTCACTTTGTTGCCCAGGCTGGAGTGCAGTGACGTAATCACAGCTCACTGTTGCCTCAAACTCCTGGGCCCAAGTGATCCTCCTACCTCAGCCTCCCAAGTGGCTTGGGACTACAGGCATGCGCCACCATGCCCAGCTAATTTTTTAAAAATTTTTTATAGAAATGAGGTCTCACTACATTGCTCAGGCTGGTCTTGAACTCCTGGGCTCAAGCTATCCTCGGGCCTTGACCTCCTAATGTGCTGGGATTATAGGCATGAACCTCTGCACCCAGCCCCGTGGTATTTTTTAAAAACTTCAAATTAATTACTAATATTTAAAAAGTATAGCAGGTTCACATAGAACTCCAGATTCTTAATTATCTTGAAAAATCCGGAGATCTAACAACCCTGGGCCTCCATTTCCATATGGGCACAGATGGCTGGAGTCACACAGCAACTGCTCTCTTTGATGGGGAGGTGGGAAGATATTTTCCAATTTGCTGCCCCCACCCCTCCCGATGACTCCTGTGACAGGAGTGCCAGTCTCCCTGTAGCATCACCCTCCTCCTACCAGTTTTCTAATATTAGAGGGGAGAGGAATATGAGCTTTACCATCATGAGTTCATTCCTTTTTTTTTTTTTTTCTCCTTTCTCTAGGTGTTCCGTTCCCAAGGAACTTCCTTCAGATCTGCAAGAAGATCTTGTGCCGCCTTTTCCGGGTCTTTGTCCATGTCTACATCCACCACTTCGACCGAGTCATTGTGATGGGCGCAGAGGCCCACGTCAACACCTGCTACAAACACTTCTATTACTTCGTCACAGAGATGAACCTCATAGACCGCAAGGAGCTAGAGCCCTTGGTGAGTAGCACTGCACAGTAATGGTGCCCGAGGCCCCCCAGGAGCTGAGCCGTTTGTCACAGTGCATTGCCAGATCCCGGGAATGCTCACTAACGGCGAGCTGATTGCTGGAGCACTGCAGACCTGCACCAAGGTTAGCAGTCGGCCGAAGGCCAGGAGATGCCAGGGTGTCCACTGCCACCAGATCAGTGCCTTAAGTTGCTCTCCCAGAGGTGGCAGAAGGTCGTGGGAATATAATGGTTTAGGCCAGAGGGAGTAGCTTTAATTCTTAGCTCCAAAATCATTCACCTATTTATTTAATCTCTTAAATGGACATCTTTGATCTCTCATGTCATCTATCACACTATTAATCAAAGATGATTAGAAACATTTCTTTGGTCAGTAAATAAATATTTAGCTCCTACTGTATGCCAGTTTCTAGGCATACAAAGTCAAATAAAACTGCCTTTAAGTAGCTTTTACTCCAGAGATAGAGACAGAGGTAAGCCCTAAATAAGAATATAGTCTCATGGGGACTTTGCTTTTCATGTTGAATCTCCTGAAATACAGTTTTAATGGGATATATTAGAATCCAGAAATATTTGATATAAAACTTTAGTATTGTTTAAGTGAATGGGGACTGCCTTTATATTCTTCATAAGCTATTTTTACAGTCGGACTTAATCTGTGCTTTAGAAGTCAAGAACCCCTAAAAACCTCATTAACTTTTGTAACGTGCTACCTCAGTGGGGATACTTTTATCACAGCTATTTCTAGTTGGCTCTATTGAATATGTGTGTGTTACATCCAGAGTAATACAAGGTGGCAGTTTTGCTCAGTACAGCTGACAGCACAACTAAATTTCACTCAAGTCCATTTGAATGGTGGCCAGAGTACTGGGCCAGGCTATCCTTTTTTGTCAGCCTGTATCCTTTTATCTTTAGGTATATATTTTAAATATAGGTTTTATTATTATTTAGGTATGGTGAAGCCAGCAGATCAGGAGATGACTGTCATTGAAAAGATAGTTGGGTGTCCTCACACATCCCAAGAGAAAGGGTCATGCCACACGACTAGGGGCCACATCGGAAAGGACCAGGGTCGATCAGAAGACAGAGGGCGCAGGGGAAACACAGGCAAGAACCTTTACTGTGATTTTTATGAGAAGGAACCAAGCCAGGCAGGGTAAGCAGATTTGGGGTTGCCTAGTTTGAATAATCTCAATGGACTCTGGGGCATAGTTGTCCCTAGTTGTCCGGTACCCACCCCTGGGGCGGTTACTGTGAGACCTTGATGGAGAAGGTGGTTGCGGATGTGGGCTGTGGAGACCGGTTGGTTTATATTGGTTGGTGTGTAAGCAGCTTGAGTGTGAATTGTTTACCGTCTCTAGGAATCGGCTAGCTCTGGGGGAAGCAGTTTCTCCAGGGTCAGCAAGGCCCCGTTGATGTTAAAGAATCAAAATATAAAAAATAAAAGACACGTTTAATACAGTACCTGTATCTGGCTAAGATTAGTTAATTTTATATATCACTCTTAAGAGTTTCTCAACTTGAAATCTGTTATTGTGCTATGAGAATACATGGCAAAAAATATTTTTCTTTGTATCACTCAGTAGTTCTAGAACAAAGCAAGACTTTTTGGATACAGTTGAGATGTCTCATTGGCTAAAGAACAGTTGATTTTCTTCATTTGCTTTGACAAGAGCTTTCTAGAAAGCTCTCAGGGGCAGGAACTGAGTTGTCTGTGAACACGATTGCACAACTAAGTAGGGAAAGAGGCTAAAACTCATCAATGGTTAAATTTTGCTAGTTTGTCCTTCATAAAGGCTATTGTGGGTAAACAGCCACTATAGGAAGATAAGGTTGTGCAAACAGCTCAAGGGAGTTGAAAGACTGGAAACAGTTGATAAAGTTAATTTCAGAAAATGTCAAGGACAGAGGAAAAGGTGGACAGGGGCTGTGTAAATGACGATCGGGGAAAAACTACTAAGACCTCCTAGATGTTGTTCTGCTTCTGAGTGTTTTAGTTTCATTCTCTTCAGTGGGCATGTTCAGGTGGAGGGAAAATGCCTTCCCCGGATACCCACCAGAAGGAAGAGACTCTCTGTGCACTTTTGGCTTCACTGAGCTAAAGGAGCAGAAACATCAAATGGATAGAGCTGAAAGTCACTTTCTCCTTTATGCACAGAAGCATAAAGACAACATTGTAGGATAAAGCTGAGTGTAAGTTAACAAGCAGAGAAAGCCTTTCTTTGCCATTAAAAAACTCTGTTATTTTCTATAACTGAACAACGGCTCCAGGGATTCTAGCACCTGGCAGTGCCAAGAGCTGACTTGAAGTCTCAGAGTCACAGAAAGGCCCCGAACAAGCCAATATTCTAAATAAGAGCCTCTTTGGGGTCCTAGGAGAAAAACTATGATTAGAATAACCAGGAATTATTAACAGTGCAAGTGAGAAAGAAAGGTATATGTTTTTTCCCCCCAGAAGCTTATATTTCTTTAAATCTTGCTTGAAACATTATCCTTTCTACATTTGTGTTTTGTTAATTATAATTATGGGGAAATTAATTTTAATGCTTTTAAATATTAATATGTTGTTATAATGCTTGGTTGTCTGAAATTATGCATTTGCTTTACACAAACCAAAACCTATGAAGTAACAGAAATAGATATTGAGAATGTTTCTGAGGATAATAATTATATAATATCTGTCTGGATACATCCAGTGTCCATAAGTGGATTGTTTATTGCTTGTGGATTGTTACTGCTGAATGAGAGTTTTCATTTCAATAGTTGATAGTGCTAGAATACTCAACTTTTAATACTGTTGCAATGCACCTATTAAAATCAGGCATAGCACATCAAATACTTCGATTTGCATATATCAAGTACCCTATATATGTAAAGCAAGTTGCTCAGATATTCTATGTGCATAAGAAAGATATGCTTTTAAGAAATTTACAGTGCAGTCTGAAAAATATAAAATAATGAACGTCACCCATCTCTGGCCCTGAAAGATGACGAAGAATTCAGGCATTTGGCTTCACATTCTAGTTGTACATTCTTTAGAGTTTAATGTGGCTGGGGCCAGAAGGGCAGCATTTGTACAGCCAGATTCCCTTAGAACATTGACGTTCCCAGAGTTCTCACACTTGCGGTGGGACATTGGTGCTGTCATGCTTTGGGATTCCACAGTGTAGAACTTGGAGACCCCATCTCATATTTCCCTCTGCCATGCTTCCACCATGCATAGCCACACTTCTCTGCCTGCTTTTGCCTGATGTTGACTGGTATCTACCACACATGCTGCGTTGAGAATCCATCCAGCAACCCACAAGGGTAGGAGATTCACTATCATACTGCGCATAAGGCAAGGCCCACGCTCTCTAGATTCTAACCCTGGATGCTTCATCTACTAGCTTGCAACCTTGAGCAAGATACATGGCTTTCCAAAGCGTCATTTTCCTCATTCATAGAATGGGTATGTAAAAATTAAATGGCTTAGTCACATGGAAAGTGCTTAAGAAATGTTAGCTGTTAAATGAGATAAAAGAATGTACAGTAGCTGGCCCGTAATTAGTGGAAGTACCCTAATTCTCCCTTCCCTAGCTTCCACACCTCTTTTCTATCCTAGTGATTGATCCCTTTGGTAGCCTGATAGCAGATATAGTTCATTTGTATCAGTTGCTCCCACAACATTGTCAAGTCTTTGAGGGCTGGGAATGTACAGGACATATGCCTGCATTTCCTAGGTGCCTAGTACATAATAAATGCTTACTGTGTTTTTGAGTTGGGAAGAGTGTTTTATGGATGTTGCACCTCCACTCAAAGGGATTACACACTGGTCCTTCTTTCCTTAGTACCACCCTCATCTCAGAACATGCCTGTAGACCTTGACTTATCCCTTTCCATGTTGGAAATAATGCTTCAGCCTATCGGATTAGCAACAGAGTAAAAGCAAAATAAGGTACAGAGTGGTGAAGAGATGCATTATAAGCTTGAGGCCTGATAGAGAGAGATGGGGCTCCAACTCTTTTTCATTCTCTGTTCCAGATTCCAGGTAGCTCACCCAGGAGGTGTTAAGTGCTCCCACATTGCCTTTGTGTCCTGGTGTGCCAGGTGTAGAGTGACCAACTCCCTGTTAAGTATTGAAAGTCTCATGTCCTGGGAGAACCCTTGGTCCTGGGAAAACTGGGATGATTGGTCACCCTATCAGGCCTCTGAGTTGGAATAAAATTTGGAATTCAGAAGTTGGGAAGAGGTCACCCTGGCCAGCCCAGTGAAGGCCAGCATTTCCGTCCACAACCAGGGCTTGCCTCACGGCTCTCATTGGGACTTGCTGGTCAGCCCTTGTGGCCAGCAGCCTGGGAACCTGGGAAAACACATGCCATTCCATTTGGTCTCCCCCAGGGAGGGCAAGGCTGGAGTGCTGACAGACACAGATGTGACAGATCATCCATTTCTCATGTAAATGCAACAGCTGAAGATGACTTGAACTCAAGCAAGTTCACAGTTGGAAGAAACAAGCCCCAAAACGATGCTGTTAATTAGAAAATGGGCCAGGCCCTGATTGAACAAGCAGGCTGCTGTTGGCCCTTGGCTGCCCGGGAGTCAGCTGACAGAATTGAGCTAATTAGAATTATCATTAGCAAGCACAAATAGCCAGCTCTGTTTTGTTGGCCTTTCAGTAAAAACAAAAGCAGAGGGCTGTTAGCAGTGCAGTAGCTGTGAATGAACAGCTGATTAGGGCAGGGGGAGGAGAGGGATTGCTCTCCCTAATGAACCCTGCTGACCCCTGGGTGACCTTGGTCCAGGGCCTTTCCCTTCTTTCTCCAAGGCTCCGTTTCCATATTTCTATCAGTGAAGGTGATTACACCATCACCTGCCTTGTAGGGATGCTGCTGTGAAACCAAAGGTTGCCGCAGGGCTGTTCTGGTACCTTATAGCAGGACACTTAGCCCACAGGAGCTCTTCAGCTGAGTTGGTGTTTCTCAGTAGGGCCCACACACACCTGCATCACAG